TTATTTTTTGCTATTTCCTTCAAAGCAGCTTGAACATAGGTTCACTAAAGTCCTTGAGTAGTCCAGCGCACTCTCCACTGTGTGACAGAGCCACCTCACTAATGTCCTGTGGACTGTGGACATCCACAGTGACTCTGACACGCCTAGAATTGAATTCTTCTCCATAGCTGAGTCTGGTCCAGTGCTTCTCAGCAGGGACACTGGTAACATTCTAGGCAGGACGACACTCTCTGCTATGGGATCTTCCTGACTTGCCAGAAACTTAGCATTGCTGTTGTCCAGACACTGAAGGGAATACGTTATTCTTAAGTTTGTAGATACCTCCCCAGGGTGGTAGTGCGGTTCTTAGGGCAGTGGTATAAACGTTCTTCAGAGGTTATGTTGGCAAGAAGCCCACCATTCAAACAGATGAGATCAGAGAGCTGCTGACATTGTTAGTGGGAATACTTCTCCACAGGATCCCCCAGCCCATGCGTAGGGGTTCTGGGCTCCCCCAGAGTTTGTACACAGAGCTGTAACCTGTCTGCTGTAGTTCCCTTCTCTCTTACCTCTCAGACATCCTGGAAACTTTTTGTCTACAGTTGCTACTTGAGTCTCTGTCCTGTAAATCAAGTGTGCTGACACGTTTTTATTGCTTCAGCCCTGACATGTTATGTTTGGACATTTGCACAGCATTTGTTTGCATCCGAACAAAGAGAGGAGATCATCCGAAGTGCTATCGACCATGCCGGCAACTACATCGGCATCTCCCTGAGGACCAGGAAGGAGCCCCTGCAGTTCGAGCAGTTCCTCAATCTGCGCTTTGGCAAGTACAGCACCGATGAGGCCATCACGTCCCTTGCCGAGTTCACGGTGCAGAAGATATCCCCACGGCACTCGGTGAGCTGGCTGGAAGCAGGCACCTTACTTGTGTGCTTTTTAACTCTTTTCAGTAACTTTACTGTGTCTCCGTTTTATCGTTTGAAGGAACCTGTAAAAAGAGTCCTAGCACTCACAGAAACATGTCTAGTAGAACGTGATCCAGCAACATACAACATTGCTACCTTGAAGCCACTCGGCGAGGTGAGGTTCCTTCCCATTGCTGAGTAAGGATTCTTTATTCTACTTAAATGTGTATTCTCATGGAGAATGGGCAATCAGTGGATCTGTGTTAAATTCTCTACGTGACTGTATATCTCAGTCTTAGAACAGTCAGCCTTTTGCAGAAGTGTTCAAAGAGCAGAACTTCTGTTGAGTTATATGTGAAAATACACATGTAACTTTGAAGCACTTCTGCTCTGATACAGTTAAAGTAGTCATCATTTTAAAAGTACTAACTGCTAGAAACAAAAGGATGGTGTGTCCTTGTTGTCATAACGGACTGTAAACGAAATCTTTCTCCTTTTGGACTTTGTTTTCACTAGGTCTTTGCATTGGTTTGTGACTCGGAAAATCCACAACTATTTACCATTGAATTTATAAAGGGGCAAATACGAAAATACTCTTCAACAGAGAGGTATTCATTCTTTCCTTTTTCGTCACTTTTTATTTATTAAGCTTTTGAAAAGAAGAAAAAATGATCATGTATTTTAGGGGAAAACATTTTAAGTGTTTATTTTTAAATGAAGAGATGAAATTGCCTCCATTTGCTTTTCTCCCCTGATTTTTTTTTAAATACTAGTGTATTTACAAAATTTTAATACATTGATTTTGAGAATAAGAATCCAAGGGGAAGGATGGAAGCAGAGGTTTGAGGATGCCTATTCACTTTTTAAATTCCCAAAGGCAGAAAAATGGTGGTTTCCTTTTAAAGGAAACAATGAAGCCAGTCTACATTTCTATAACCTGTGTTGAGAGCTCAGCAGAGGGGCACTTCCCTCCTACACAATGTACCTGAGTTCAGGGCTCGTCCCCTGGACCTCCAGCGTGACCACACAGAGTACCTGAGTTCAGGTCCTGTCCCTCCAGTGTGCTCACACAGCGTACCTGAGTTCATAGCTCTCCTCCTTCAGTGTGCCCACACAGCGTACCTGAGTTCAGACT